GCGATACAAATCCTTTCTTAATTAAACCCGTTTATTTTTTCTCGATACAACTTTGTAATACACTTAACAAATTTTATAACACACGCTATAAATCACAGTGATTTACACACTTTACTTACGGTGCCTACTGTTCGCTTGACTCAGTTATCTATCTCTTCAATCAATCTGCATATCTATCTATCGCTTGCTTTATTTGCCGGGCTTATATACTAAAAAGAGGGCGCCTGGCAAACACTTGTATATTCGCGGAGTTCCTCGATAAGTCATGATCCTTCTAGAAACTTCAGCGCGTATGCTCCCAGCGTCGCTTGACTTCCGCTGTCGTAACAATATATTAGATGTTAGTAGTCTTTGGTATGCTGTTTTGTGTCTTAGTAAAAGCGAAAAGTCACGTTCCAAAATAGCCACAGTATTTAACTTTAGATGTTTAAGAAAATAAAACTGATTTATTGTATGTTAGCTGAATGGAAGTTATGTAAGTTTATGATTAATGAAAGGCTATCTTTGGACACGAAAAGTAGCTTCCCGTATATGTAATTGTAAAAAACGCCCAAAAAACTGCAAAATGTAAAACTGAACATTTGTATGTATCTCTCCAGGGACCCAATGAACCCCCATACCCATTTTGGTGAAGATCCACCCACATCCTGTGAAGTAGTTACATAGACATAAAACAGACAATACTGTTATATCTATATAGATTTGTATCTTATTAAAAGCTGGAGAATCAGGTTTTAAAATAACCATTGTATTTAACCGTAGTTGTGTCAGAAAATAAAACTGGTTGTTGTATTTGTATCCTGGTACAAGTGGAAAGTAACGTGTCAAAGTTTACATTGTATTTAACTGTAGTTGGATAAACACAAGGAATCGGCAGGTTTGTGCACGTCTATGTAAGAGAGTGAAATATAGAATATTTATACAAATTTAGGTGTGGAGCATTTTCTGATATAGTGCCAACTGATCAGCGCCCCTGGTGGCAAACGCTAGCAAGTGTGACCACTTGAAGAGTTTCCGATCATAGTACCATTAATACTTGGCTAATTAAGGATCATTATTAGTAAAACAAGTAAGAGGATTCGTTTGCCACGTTGGGCTACCTATTATGTACACCATAGGGAATCGAACGCCGGACTTTAGCGTTGTTAGTCCGTAAACTTACCGCTGTTCCACCGGTGAACGGGCCCGGCATGGCCAGGTGGATAAGGCGCTCGACTCGTAATCTGAGGGTCGCGGGTTCGAATCCCCGTCCCACCAAACATGCTCGCCCTTTCAACCGGGGGGGGGCATTATAATGTGACGGTCAATCCCATTATTCGTTGGTAAAAGAGTAGCCCAAGAGTTGGCGGTGGGTGGTGATGACTAGCTGCCTTCCCTCTAGTCTTACACTGCTAAATTAGGGGCGGCTAGCGCAGATAGCCCTCGTGTAGCTTTGCGCGAAATTCAAAAACAGACAAAAACAAACAATCCACCGCTGAACGACAAGTAAAGAAGAAACAAACGTGAAGAAATTCATTACATGATATTATTAGTTTCATGTACACTTTCGCCTCTAGTTTTCTAGATTACAGTTCTATATTCTTGTATAAAACTTTAAAACTACATTGATTATATTATAAAATTATATACAACAAGAAGTTTCTGTTTTGATTATTTTATCAATAACCTTAATCTTTTTCCTTTCTTGATGAAGTGTCACGAAATTAACAAAACGTGCAGAAAACTATGAATCTGATCACGTGAGGACTCAAAATGTTGATAAAAATGTCAATTCACTTCTTGTTTTATTTAAATGTCACAATGATGCTTGTCTGATGTTCAATGAGGTAGATTTGCTAGTCTGGTCAATGTGAATTTTCGGCCAGAGGTCTACAAATGAAAGACTAATATGTCCAGCTGGATCAAAACGTCAAGGTATTGGTAGAGTACTTGGTTAATTTTGTAAGATCTTAAACTAGATGAGGATGATGTTGATCATGAAATTACTATTGAAGTGAAATAGCATTTGAAGTGCTTGCTATCATTACATAACAGTGGCACACTCGTGGAGTCACCAATCATCTGAATGTCACAGGAATGTTACGTTTAAAAAAGTTGCATTTGCCGAACTTATAACATACGTTGAAGAATAACTTAACGCAATAAACACTCCAATATCAAAGTTAAATGATTTGGTGAAATTATATACTGCACTTACAAAGATGCAGAACCCGTTGGTCATAGATATAAGGTCACAGTCTGGTCAACAGTGGCGAAGAATGGCTGACTGATTACAAGATTGTGACTTTATACCTACAGCCAATACATTCAGCAGGCGCTGTGAACAAGATCGACCACAGTACATCATCAACTGTAGCAACATGTTTATTTCATAGCATGTGAATTCTCCTCCCAGTTTCGACACTGTACAACATTATCAGACCCAGCTCTTCATGACATGTGAATTCTCCTCCCAGTTTCGACACTGTACAACATTCATTGCTGCAGCTGTTGATAGGGAGAGTCACACATTCATAAAAATTAAGTTTGGCTAGAGACAATCAAAACTTCAAATACATGCTCACCTTATGATGCAACACACCTTCTGGTATAAAACTGTTAAACGGCTCAGCTAGCTTCAAAAAGAGACAAAGAAATGTTGTCATTCTCTCTCTGGACTATATAAAATGATATTACTGTATTCGTATATCGTATAAAGAAAATCTTTCAGTTTGACAGTTAAACAACATATATAGTAGATTCAACTTTTTTAACAGTTAGGGCCTTCACGTGATCAGATTAATTGATTTTTGCAAGTTTATTACATTTTGTGCCTTTTTGTCAAGAAAAAGGGGAGGATACTGCTAAGTGGTAAATACGTTTCAAGTGACAATGTTGTATGTTATTTTACTCCAGAAGTATTAACACAACTATAAAGTTCTTTACAGGGACCTAGAGGTAAAAATGCATATGAGACTGATAATATTGTGTAACGATTTTTGTTCATGTCTGTGACTCCTCTACTTTCCAACTAATGATATAACTAACTATTGGTTTACTGATTGCTGTGGGATAATTCTTACATTCACAAAAACACCGTAAGCTTTAATTGGACAATCGTTAATGAAACTTTGATCGAAAACTTCTCAATGGGCAACTGATTTGATCGCTTCAGCCACCAGGAGGAATTCCACGCCACTAGGGATGCTGATTAATTGACACTATAATACAAAATGTTCGTCAAACAAAGTTTCATGAGCATTTTTATATAATACAACGTTATCAAAGAGCTTATCCGCTGAAGTAAAGCGGAAAGTTATGTTCCAAAGTAACGACGGTATTTAACCATAGTTGTGTAAGAAAATAAGACTATTTTGTTGTATTTATGCTCTTGTACAAGTGGACAATGACATGTCAAAGTAGCCATGGTACTTAAACGTAGCTTGGTGAGAAGTTAATCTTTAAATTTCATAAATTTTCCTCAATAATCCCGATAATGTACATAAGAGGAATTTTTTGAAAACACCAGAATAATGATAACTATTTTTATTACTTAAAGGTACCGACAGAGGGACGGAAGATGAATGTGGTAGGTATAGTACTTTTCGTTACAATTGTCGTGTTTCTATATTTATATTTCAGGAATAATAACAAAGAACTCGGTGGTCATGCCGTTGTGTCTATATTTGTTGATTAATGTTTTACACATATCCTTTCTGCATTATCAATATTTTAGATACCTTTGGTAAGTTTACTTGCTTTTATAAATTGTCGAATTTCAAAAAATTATAAACTCAGAAGTCGTTCAGTAATTGAAAATAATATTGAACAAAGAAATGTAGTTTATATCATAAAAAAATTCAATAATTAAGTGTTTTCATTTTGGAGTCTGTGGTAACCACTCTTCCCACCTGTCCACTCGAATTGTTAATGGCGAAAGAACGGATCTAAACGAATACCCATTTATGGTAAGTTTTACTTCTGGTTTTTGTAGGTAGTTTAATAAAATAGGAACTGTTTAAGACAGTAAAGAATAATTATATCGTATTTTGTGTCTGAGAAACTATTAATTAAATCTCGAAATAATACTTCAGTGACAAAGAGAAGATAAATTCTGAAAGATTTTCAATGTAAGAAAACTTATAAAACAATGTGTTATCTAGAGGTCAACATGTAAAGAAAATTAGTACATATTTCCCTTACGTGTTGACTTCTAGCTAAACAGAAGTGAATAAGTACATATTTCCTTTACATGTTGTCCTCTAGATAATACATTGTTTTATAAGTTTTCTTCCATTGAAAATCGTTCAGAATTCATCTTCTTTTTGCCACTTTTGTTTAGCAAGAGGTCAACATGTAAAGGAAATATGAACTTCCTTTTTAGTCACCGTGAGAAAAAACCTATAAACTAGATAGGTGAAGTGAAGAAAAAGTGTGATTGGCCACTATTCAGTGAGTTCCGAGTTAGTGAGCCGTAAAGTGTATGTTTTGCGCTCGTCGAGAGTGAAGTAATCGAGATTGTGAATCACTGTGATTTATAGTGTATTATAAAAGTTGTTAAGTTTAAACTGACAAAAAACATACTGATTTTGGACGTACTGTGGGTGAAGTGGCATTGTCTTGGTCTTTCGTATGCCAAACAACTTGCAGCATTCATGGAACACAGCTGATTCAAAGTTACGGCCTTGATCTGAATGCAGTTCGTATGGCATACCAAATCTGAAGAAGAAAATCACAAATAACCGAAGCTACAGTTGTAGCTTCCTGATTTGGTATTGCATATGCCTCAGGCCACTTGGTGCAATAATCCATCACCACAACCAAATTTACTTGTTTCCTGCACTAGTTTGGGGCAAAGGACCAGCAATGTCAACGGCTACTCTTTCCATTGGTGCACCAACTTGATACAATTTCATTAGAGCACGTCCCTTATGCTTGGGTCCTCTTTAAGCACAACATGTACTGCACGTCCTGCACCATTCTTCCACATCTTGCCTCATACCTATCCAATATAGTCTCTGTCGTAGG